AGAGGTCTTGGCAGTCTTTGGTTTTTGTTTTCATAAAGAGGTTTGAGAGGTTAAAATAATTTTGTATTTCACCATCGTCCTCCGTCGTGCTTAGTGGTTATCGGCCGTTATTAGGCTGTTGTCTTCTTTGCGCCTGGACTCCATCTCGGTTTCGCGCCAAGATGGCTGCTTCTTACTCAGCGTCATGCTGCGCGTGCTACTGACTTCCCGCCTCTCTGCCAGATAATCTTGGTCGAAGTTCAAGAAGCTAATGAACCGGCTAGCGAGAGCCGGCGTGGGTCCACCGGTTGGTTGCCAGACCTCTGCTGCACACACGCCTGGAATGAGGAAACAGGTCGACACTAAGCTTCCCTGCAGTTTCAAGTTGACTGTGGTATTCAGTTTGCGCGTTCGTAGAAAACTCGTTGTTATGGTTGGCGCGGGTGTTTGCAGCACAAAGTGCGCAAAAATAACAGAAACTGGCAAAATAATGCAGTCTTTCCTAGACGAGTCAGTGCCCACTTCAGCCTCCCGCTATGTAACCATTGTGTTCAGCGTTCCTTTTTGTCTCGACGACGAGAATTTTGCGTATTAGTAAGTCTAACGCGTTCTCTCGTAAAACCGCCGGTTTTCATATATTTACTCAACATTTTGATGAAAAGAAGTACATTGTAATCCCTTATTGTATTCACTCCAGATTTCTCAGAACAGAGTCTGGCTTGAGCATTTTGTCCTGCATAATTAATCGTCAGTTCTACTTGATTCTACCAAAGGCGTTGGTTGTGCAAACGTGTGATCTTTAGACCAAACAGAAAGTGAAACCATGGCAACGTGTGCATTCGTCTGTTCCTTTCATGTTCGCAAGCTTAAATTACGGAATTAGTGGCTTACGACTTCGTGACCTGTAAGCATAATGAATATGTTACAATCATAGACGGCGCTAAGATTGGATTGCCACAGTGCCCATCAGGCATGGCGGACTATATAGGCCTATATACCATCAGCAGTGGAGGGATGGAGGGCCGGTTCAGAGACACTTTAATGGAACTGAACGATTGCCTTCTCCTTTCCACCTTTTCTTTTTCGTCCCTTTTCAGTTTTAATTGTCTTGTTTTCCTCTTTCCCAACCCTCGCTACGCCCAAAATGTTTGACCAGAAATTTAGTCATTACGAACGCGTATAACTTCTGTTTTTATTACTAAGTCCCTGTGCCGGTCAAAATGAATCGAAACAACGCGGAAGCTGAGTACACAAACTGCATTCATTTTTATTAGCCGTGTTTACCGCACAACAAAACGTCATCAACAACGTGAAACGAAAGTGGTGCCGATGTGTGTATCCTTTTTAGCCCGCCTATGCGGCAGACGCAATCTGGATGCCAAACCAATCGTGCTCTCAATGGTATACATGATATCCCGCACACGAACAAGGCCTAATGGAGTCTGAAAGTGCGCATGTTGCATGCGGAACTCGGCGTTGCGACAAGGCCTCGCATGCACGTTGAATCGTTGATCCGGATGAAATTAAGTGCATGCTACTGTGCCTCGAGCCTGAGCACGCATTCTGTGAATTTCCAAGAAGGCCAGACTCTGGGTATATCGACTCCGAGCTGACTGCATGTAGGCCCCGATACTCGTGGAGCTGCGCCATTGGAACGCACCGTTGAATTACAAATCTTCGGTCTTTCACCCTCAAAGAGCTTGTGGATTTAAAACTGAATAATTTATGGTAAACTCGGTCCCAGCGCAGATCTCGCGCTTCAATAATGCATGTGGACATGCGCGGCCATTTTAACAGGCGACGAAAATGTGGCAAGCGACAATTTTTTTGCGCCGTTCTTTCCATCTCAACTCTAATGCCGTCGAGAGTGTTGACTCCGGTCATGGGTATCAACGAGTTTCACACCCTCGTTACAATAACGGGGACCAAGCGAGGGACCTGTGTGCCGTGACCCCGGCCGCAGTCAGATACATAATCCGTATTTTCGTTCCTTCCTCGTGTACGTTTGTCTTGATCAATTAGGCGACACGGAGCGTGGCACATACCTACGGCCGGCGAGTCACTGAGCGGCTGGCAACGAGCCGATGTGACCGTGACGCTCGGTGCCTGTATCAGAGGTTCAGATTCCCGCGAGCCTCACGCGTCTTGCAGTTTTTACACCGCGGACATCTTATAATGTCAGTGCCCTGGGATATAGATCACGACAGTTCGCGATCGCCCGAGGCACAGACTAAGATATATATAGCCCCAACTTTGGATGTCATCATAGGAATGTTTAATGGAGAACAGTTTTCTACACCGCTATGAGCGAATGGCTTTGACCTTGCAGAAACAAAAATGCTAAGGCAGTAAATAAGGTCTGCTTTCAGGCAGTCAAAATATTTGCGTATGCATCCGTGTAGTCAGAATTATTGACTTTAAAAGAAATCTGCCTTGTAGGTAGGTAGACTGTACTCGAAAGATAACATCAGACTCTACGTGTACAGATTCAAAGGAGGGGTAAGCTGTCACAAGAGGGGGTTTAAAGGCCTGTGCTATGATGTGCTATTTTTTTTTTATTTCTGGTGACCCGGTATCGAGACCCCCTTAACCCTCTGTAGATTCGCCATCTTTTCTTTTCGTCACGACTACATTCTAATTAGTCAGCCCTCTGAGCTTCATGTCAAGACGAAGGGAAACTGGTCGATATTCTGTTAATTTGTATCAAGACAATGCATGGCATGGAAGGTCCTTCATAATCCACTGGCTGACACTGGCCTGTTTTAAATCCGTATCGAGACCACTGCGGGTCTCGTAGATGTTTGTGCATTTTGCCGTTTTTACTGTAGATTGGTGGCGCTTACGCGAAACAATGTGTGGTCCAGGCCGATTGCGATTTCCTGATCACCTGCCACCGCGCATTTGCACTGATGTAAGTCCAGTTGCTTTGCAGCACAGTTGCTTTGCAGTCCTTTTGAAACTGCGATATGCCATGAAAACGCCACTGAATAAGAGCACAGAGAGGACATGTTGTCTTTCTGTATTCCCTCTAATAATGCAACTATTGTGTATAAAACTGTAAAGACATCGTATTCGCTATGAAGTCTTTGATGCACCGACCGTCACCCGCGAATGAATGGCGCTCATTCACTCTAGATCGATAACATCACAGGCTGCTTGCCAGGTAGCAAAATGGCGCCCCGTGACCAAAACAGATGTCTTTGGTCATGCAACCGATAGGCCTACATTATAATACGCAGCCGTCTTGGAAAGTTGCAAGGTCTGGCTTTGTCACTGATGGAACACAAACTCTTTCCCTCAATGGAATTTAACGAACTATATTTCATGAATATACTCCTTATATTTACTCTTTAACTACGACTTGTAAAGATGTTTCAACACTTTTATACCCACTTTTTCACACGTTTAACCCATGACATGTTTGTTGAAATGTATATAGGAATGTGGTTAAATGCTAAATGCTTTCCATGGTACATGTTCAGTTTTTTTAATTCTGCTTAGCATTTAAACACATTCCTACACGCGTAACAAGAAACATTTCGCGGTTAAACATGTCATGAGTACAAAAAAGTGGTTTTATTTTGTGTTTAAATTCTCAGCGCTTTTTTTAGAGTGTATTTTTTTGAAAAATTGCGACTAATTATGAGCAAAAACGAAATCTGGTTAACAACCAGATTTGGCTTTTTTTTTCAAGCATACGTATCTATAACTAAAGTAACGCAGTTGAATGCTAAATGCTTTTCAAAGGTACACGTTTAGCTTTCTGAAATCTGCTTAGCATTCAAACACATTCCTGAACGCGTAACAATAAATGTGTTGAAGCTAACCAAGTTAAAGAAGCGGGTATAAGAATAGTGTTTAGAAATGTGTTTAAACTCGTAGCACCTTTTTAGAGTGTAACATGATAGGTTTGTGCCGTCATCAATTTGTTTTTTTTTTTCATTCACAGAATTATTATATACTCAAGATTGTATCTCCCATACAGATAACATTTTTTTTAATTGAAATTGCTGATTAAACACATTCCTAAACACATTTCAATAAACATATCATAGGTTAAACGTTTCGAAATGTACCAACTGGATTGTGATTATCGATCTCACAACAAATTTGTACTCATAGCACGCATGGATAAGAAACACAAATTGTCTATTAGTGTCCGGTCATCTTGAGTGGGGTGTTGGGTGTTTTTTGACCTAAATTGGTGTATATCAACTTCCCAACTTCTGGTCACAAGGTGTCCAACTTAGGGGTATTGTTTTTAAAAAAAAATGACAAACATTTCTACTAAAAATGACCAACATCTGGATAATGTAGCTCAGCCCAACTTTTTGGACCAACTTTGTACAGTGCATTTCCTATATCGGTCAGGTATTGTTCACGTCATTCACCTCTGCTTCTTCTTGGTGACGCCAGTTTTATTTTTAATGTCACTTGATCCCTTATCTTCTCCTCTGTGGTTCAATATTCTTGGGTGTCACCGCTTCTACTATAACCACATTACTACAATCATCATGATAAGAGACCGACTATTAATTTATATCCTCTTTCAAGACACGAAATAATGCAAGGCGCTCGTAACAAGAAGCTAAGTGGTTTTGATCATGCAGTAGAAGGGTCAACCTGCAGTCATGTTCTGAAAGTGCAAGCTGCAATCGATTCACTAGATGTAATATTTTCATACTCGCAGACGGTTCTTTCGGGGAAAATGCTGTCTCACGTTGCTCTCGAGACAGAAGTATAAGGGGAATTGTGGAACGGATGTCGCGCTATTATAGTCGAGCGGGAAGGGTTTCTATTCGGGAAGCGCGCAGAGTGGCAGGATTCAAAGTGAGTCTAAATGAGTCTAAACGGGATCCTGGGCTGGCTGTACCATTTCAGGAAAGGCAAAATATCTGTGACTAAGTGCCGGGTTAGACTTTGATTCCTCGAGGATTTGAAATTGAAATATTCGGCGCCATTTTCTTTTTATTTCGCGCTTTATCAGCATGTGCTATTGTTTGGTATTTTCCTCTACCTAGGAGTGGTTTTGTTGTCACCATGGAGATGACCAGTCTGGAACGCGAGCTAATTTGTCCGATTTGTAAGGACTACTTCACCACACCGCTGTCGTTGCCTTGCCAGCACAACGTCTGCCACCGATGCGCCAAGGACCAGGTGACGGCGCTGGCCGCCAATCAAGACTCGGCCGCCGCTCACCACAGCTCGGACGAGAGCCTGAGCACCGCGGCCACCAGCCCCACCACCTCCGTGGCCTCGCTGCCGGTCGCCACGCCAACCCGGCCCCTCACCACCGGAAGCCTGCGCTCCTCCTTCCGCCGGCGGGCCACCGTGACCGGGATGCCCTTCACGGCGGCGAACACCCCCATGAAGGCGCCCCCAAGAGACGCTGGTCCTGGAGCTGGGAGCAGCCGGCGGGAGTCGCTTCCCGGCTCTGTCTCCACGGCCTCGCCCCGAGGGAGGTCGGCCACCTCAGCCGGCTTAGTCCATCCTACCACCTTCTTCTGTCCGACGTGCCAGGAAAACGTGGACTTGGGGGAGAAGGGACTCAACGGCCTCTACCGAAACTTTGCCCTAGAAGTCATCGTTGACAGGTAAAAGTAAAAAACGATAACTAAAAATCTTTACTTTTATCCTCCCGACTGTAAGATTCCTTTCCTTATCGTTAGTTCCACTTATCATAAGCCAGTCGGCGCAATAATCAAATTTTCGCTACACCAAATTATTTGTTTTACCTGTTCGTGGTATTCTTACTGGAAAGACGAAACCAGCACAAAGAGCCCATTTTTACAAAATAATACCCCCTGCACGATTTATCCAAGTTGACCCTACTCCAAATAATGTATGAAGTCGGAACCATTGCGGCTGATTCGTTTCGTTCCATGAATTTACCAAAAGTTATTTTATAATTTTGTTCTTGGACTTACATTGTGCAGTGTTAATTCAAGCCAAAGCGCTTGAATGTACATGTACATTTGTGGTCGCGCACTACTTCCCAGGTTTAAAAAATGAGTCATGTTTTAAAAGGACCGTTAGGAAAAGAATGTGTCGCATAGGACTAGGCAAGTCGAATATTCATTTAGTCTGTTTGCGACAAGCTTTATTAATACCAGTCACGTAGCGGCAGATTTTTAAAGGTTAATTATATTGACTGATCAACATTCAAGGGCCGAACACCACTCATTAATTTGCTTGATAGCAAAGCACATCAAGTAAGTTTTGTTACAAATTACCAATAGTAATTCGGTACAGGCGCCCATTTTTCGACAGGCACACAGGAAGCGCTGTAGTATGATGCATGACTGTTTCCCATTAGCTGCTGATTCAGGGGGAGGTGTCCGTTTTATAGTTCCATGGTTATATCTAAGGTGCCTGGATGCGTATTATGGATCTTACATGCTGGGAACCTGCGTATTGAAAATCGACTTTCATTCTGGGTTGAACCGAGTCTCTCATTTGATGACGCTCACGGCGTGGAACTCAAAACGATGGACTAAAGTTTACATGTCAGATTCTGTTTGGGCGAGCGTTCTGGCTTGTTTTAGCCGACGACAGTTTGAGTCTTCCGTTCGAAACGTGGAGCAAGTCAACCTTCTTTTCAAAAGGCTTCGCTCAGAAAAGAGTGAAGTGCCCAAGAGGCCCCTTTTTGCGATATTCGCCGACTTGGAGAACTTCCAGGCTGCTTTCAAATCATTTTACTCCTTGGATGCTGGGAAATCTCGAGCTTATGCCGTGTCTCCTTGGCCTTCCGGGTGCTGATCGTTGTCCTAAGGCTGGCAGTCACGCCGACGGCGCAATCAACTTTGAGGCAAATCTACCATTTTACATCAGCCTTTGAGTGCGTATACTGATGAAACTCTCTCTGGATCGTCCATCGAGGGTCATTTTTCGATTATCTGTTAAGATACCTAGGACACTTTATGCCAGCGCTAAGACTTCCCTGATCTTCAAATTCTTGTCGTGGTATATAGTCGTCTGGTGACATTTTAACCACAATAATCGGCTTTGCTCTCTCGTGAAGGGTAACTCTATCACTTTGTCCAATTCTTTCGTTGCCGTAAACTTAACGTTAGATATAGAAGGCTGTTTTGCTTGCCACAGTTCGAGTTTGGCAAACTTGAGGTTTGTTACGGAACGTGAAATGAATTGTACATGGCAGCCATCTTGACTTCCCAGACAATTTCATACCACTGGCTTTTTTGGACCACTGATGTCGACTCCTCAGCGTTGCTTTCGTTCCCCTCGTAGATTCAAGCTCGCCGCCAAGAAGGCGGCCAGCATCCCCTGCGGCCTGTGTAAGGTCCGGCCTCCCTTGGACGCCACCAAGAGTTGCCTGGACTGCAAGCTCAGCTATTGCAATGAGTGCTACAAGCAGCACCACCCTTGGGGCACGCCCCGGGCCCAGCACGAGCACATCGGACCCACCAACAATTTCAGACCCAAGGTAGGACAGCACATGGATGAATAAACGGGGCAAAGCGGAGTGAGTTGAATTGAATTATGACACATTGCTCATCTCCTATCGCACGGTCAGCTAAACTGTGATTTCCTGAACCAAAATTACTTTGGGGTTATGACTTGTAATGGATTTTTTCACAGCACTGACACGAAGAAGTTTATTGAAACATATAATTGAACGAGTTAGCCGGAAATGGCAGTTCTGGTTTGGTATTGGTCTCAAGAAGAAAATTCTATGTGAGTATACGTTCACAGAGATGTGCCTTATCCGACAAACTAACAAGGATTTTTTTACAGTCATATGAATATAACTCGAAGCAGAAATCCTTCTGAGTTGACCTGTATTTTTTTAATTCAAAAGCGAAAGTCCAATCCAATGTCTTTTTTGACAACTGCTCCTTAACTTACAAAAAAATTTACCTTTATTATTTTTCACACCCAAAGTTCCGTATTAGGGAAGTTATTCAGGGGTTAACATGAAAGATGGAATAACATTTTTTATGTAATACTCTTTTTTTCCCCTCTTCAGACCATCACTTGCACCGAACACACGCACGAGAAGGTGACAATGTACTGTGACGGGTGTCAGAAGCCCGTCTGCCACCGCTGTAAGTTCAGCGGCGAGCACGCCAAGCACAAGCTGTCGGTCATCGAGAGGAAGTACGCGGTCGTCAAGGTCAGAAATACAGTCCAACAAGTCAGACGTGCATTTTGTTGTTACTACATGTAGTAGGTTTCCACCAGGACCACATCTGACTGTGCCACTCAGCAGAAACGGTTTTATGGCCCCCATAAAACTCATCATGCCCAGCTTTTTAATGTAAAATATAATTGGGAACCAGTAACGCACTTGAATCACGTGACCTTTTGGCTGGTAACCTGACTGTGCTGAGCAATTTTATTTTCGCTCTGTAAGCAACGCTTCCATTTAGCTTCTCCACAAGAAACCCTTTGCTGGTTGAGCTAATTTTTCTCCAAAAGCAGGTGACAAAAGAATGTCGTCTTGAACATGGAACCTTTGTGAAATTGCTCCACGGTTTATATTAATAGTTGTTGGTCGAAACCTTGCTTTAAAAATCTCTTCTCAAATTGACGTCTTGCGTGCTCGTCATACTATTAAAATTGTCAACAGATGTTTGTCGCAGAATGGGCTGTGGTTTTGTCGGCTTGCTGTAGAAAGGAAAAAAGATTGAATAGCTGGAAAGTTTTAAATCTTAAAATGGCATTGCTGACCACCTCGATACAAAACTCTTAATTCACCGAAAGTTTCGCCCAACTGCCTTTATTTTTCCGTGCCTCCTTCCAGGAGAAAATGGAATGCCACCTCCATGCAATCAGAGGGAAGCGTGACGAAATCAAGAACGGCGTGGATGCCCTCAGAGGACTGTGCGGGAAAGTTGAGGTGTGAATGAGTCTCTGGTTGTGTGTTTTGTCACTCCAAACACCTTCCGTTTATCGGGCACCCCCCTCCCCCTGAAAAAAGATTTGAGATTAAAATATGTAACCTAATGAGACTTCGGAAAAGTGAATTAGTTTGCTAAAGGTATAACATACAGTGTAGATGAACCACGCAAATAGACGCGTGCTATTTTTATAATTGGGAAAACCAAACTGGTTTAGGAAAATCCCAGCTTCCGAATGTCAGTTTGAGCAAAGGTCTCCATTGCCGGTTTGCAAACAGTTTCAGACACGACATGATGTCATCCATTAGGGTGTGGCTCGAACCGTCTCTTTTGAGTCTAATCTTGCACTTCCTTTGCCGAGGATTACAGGCACGGATGGTATATAGGCACACACGTTGACTGTGCAAAAGGCAAGGGTTCGGGTCCTTGGAACGGCCGGTTGTCGGTACGATTCAGTGCGGTTCGTATTCAAGCAAGAACACTGCTCGTACTAACAGTGTCGAAGCAGATAAGTGGCCAGAAGTGTAATATAGAAACCATACAAACGGTACGGTGTTCGGCCGCGGTGTTTTAGGTTAACATCTGAAAGAACACGGGCAGCATTTTTGAAGAATCTCTCGCTTAAATGGCCCATTCGTGCTGGATACAAGGTGGGAATTACTCCCGTCAGTCTTGAAATGGCGCCGAAATTCGAGTTTCCCTCTGTACTCTGTTGTTGGGGTGGGGTATTGTTGGAGGTACGCCACCTATTGTCAAAGACGAAGACAAGATGCATTTGATTTGCCAACGAAATGTTTTTCTCAGGCTTAAATCGTCAGTTACATTCTAAAGGCGGCGCGGCCCTTACATTTCTGAAACTAGTAGGCCATTTCAAATTTCTTCCTCGAATTTCTCTCCCTGTACCCCTGGACTGTACTTCCTAACGAAATGGGCATCATTAGAGATTAACTGATATAACTGTTTTTGCTCAACTCTCAGGAAAATGGCGCCGTTGCCAGGGAGAAGCTCTCCCTGGCCCTTGCCCACCTGCAGACGACTCTTGAGGGTCGGAAAAGCGCCCTGACGCGGGCCACGGAAGAGGAGATCAGCCGGCGGGTGGGGGCCGTCCGGACGCAGCTGGACACGTACCAGGACATCTTGAAGGGTTGCAGCGTGGTGGATCTGGCCCAGGAGATGCTCAAGGAGACGGACAAGGCATGCTTCGTCCAGGCGGCCAGGCCCATCCTCGGACGGTGGGTCCCACGACGTTCTGTGTCTTTTTTGTGTGCCCCGTTAGACAGGAGCAGAAATTGAACCCACGACCTCCTGAGTTTGGTCGCTGGATTAAAGCAGCGACAATTGTGGCGATTTTAGTTGGTAGATTTTTGAAATAAAGATAAGCAAGGGCGTACCCCCTGCTGGTTTATCAGAAGAGGGGTTCGACACGCATTGTCTTGTGATCCCCGATGGGGCTCCCCAGATGAGGTATCCTGGGGTATACTCCGTTTGGAAAATGTCTTTTAAAAAGGACATGAAATTCTGTAATACGGTGCGTTTTAAATGCCCCCAAAACAAATTCAAGACTTCTGTTTTGTGATAATTTCATTTAGTGAAATAATGGAGGATTATAAAAAGGAAGTTCGTTCAAACCCCCCCCCCCTGCCCTGCGCGTACGCCCATGATAAGAAATATTGGAACAGACAAAAAGTTACCTCGTTATAGTTCCCTAATTGGCTGAATGATTTATGTTGCCTAGGTGTTTCCAAATTTCCAACAATTAAAGGGAAGAAGTTATTTGACCTAACAACAGTGATGTCGGATTGAATTTTGAAATAAATGTTTTAGATGGTGCCACAATGAATTTGCATTTACATTGCAAGAGTGATATCCCTATGATGATATACGTGTACTTTGTGTGTGATAATAGGCTCGTGGAAACGGTGAATGTGATCAAGGGGGCGGAGCTTAGTCCAGTCCACGCCCTCCACGATTTCAACAATTTAACCATCGATGATGCGGTCGCTGTAGAAGCTCTGACGACTCTCAATTTTCACAAAGGTACAGTGAAAAGGTTATTTGAAATTTGTTACAAACTTTGTCATGAAGTTTGTTAACACTATAAAGGAAAGTTATGGCACCATTTTGAATAAGCAAACTGCAAATTCCGCGCAGATTTGAAAACGCTGCCATAAGCCTACACAAACATTTGAGTATGTACAGTACTCTGTTTGCTATTATTTGTAGTGTAACCTGTGATCAGATGTGAGATGAGTTGAATTAACTTGCATCCCAAATTTGAAATAACAAAGTTCATGTAAAGTCGGATGTATTTATTTGTTTTCCTCGTGAATCTGTGAAATTTTAGTGAAATACACTACTCAAAAAGTTAAGGACCACTTGTTTTTGACTTGTATTTTTTTCCAAGCTATGAGTGGGGTCTAGTTCTTTCATTTTTTTTGTTTATGTAGATGGTGTTCTCATTGGAATAAAAAGTTTTTTAAAAAAAGTTTGAAAACATTAAGCGCACATTTTCAGCAGTTAAATATCTCATATAAAAAATATACACAAAATAAAAAATGGTCCTTAACTTTTTGGACTCGTGTACATGGTTTAATATTGATTTCTAAAATTTTCCAATTTAGATCAATAAATACAAAGAGAGTGAAGAGAACTGTGTAACTTGTCGAACATCTTCCCTTTCAACATTACAATTGTTACAACACAGCTCCCGACGCACCAGTCATCGCAACCAAGCGCTGCCAATCATACGACCACGTCATCATCGAGTGGGACCCAGCCTCCGGCAAGACGCCGGCCGAGACCTACATCTTGGAGTACCGCAAAATCGTTCGTACCGAGGGCACCAGACCGCCTACGCCCACTACCCAACGAAGGATCGCTGCCGGCAGCCCCCGGAGCGACGCGGCCGCCGAGGACCCGTGGACGTCAATCGACGGAATTAAGGAATGCAGGTTCGTTAAAACTGTAAAATCTCTGGACAGATCGACATCCCCTGAATAATAATGTCCGTTTACCTCACAAAAAGGACCAAGTATGAAAATTTCAGTATAGAGGTACGTTTAATTTTTAAGCTTTTGCAAAAAAAAGTTTTACTTTACGCACATTTCAATGAAAGATCAAAATGTCGATACCAAGCTGTGAAGTAAATATTTCTCTGTTTAATAAAAAGGCCAGAGAAATATAAGTGGCATACGGCATCATTGGTTATGATTATTAAGACAAAACAGATAGGCCTAAGTGTCCCTTGAACTTTTTATTATAATGTGGTGTTAGGTATCGGCTGAGTAACTTGGAAGTCGACAGCCGATATAAAGTCAGAGTTCGGGGCGAGAACCGGGCTGGGAAGGGCGAGTGCAGCAAGATCGTGGTCATCAGAACCGTGCCTGCTCCCGGTAAGAAATGTCGACAAGCTGTCGACACCAGCAATGCTCTGTATCAGAGACTGTCGACACCGAAGGCTATTGACAGGAAATTATTCAATTTGTAACTTAATCAGCCGGTTTAATTTCTCCACGTACATTTTAAGTTCAGACACTTTTAAATCCGTAGGCTTTCAGATTAGTTTAGCCCTTATATCGACTTCACATCTTCAAATAAATTCAAGAAAGTGAATTTGAGCATTGAAGAGATGCTTGTGTTGGAATTCGAACAGAGGAGTATGTGCTTAGGGACACTGTCGACTTCCACGACACCCCCGTTATTTTTCTGTATCTTTTACAGTGCTGCTTTTCAAGTGGACCTCATGTCAGCCAAATGGTACCCAAGGCCCCTCAATCAGCAAAGATGGCCACCGATTGACCATTCGCCCCAACACCAACCTCCTCTCACCGACTGGCGCCGGACCGATGCCATCCAGCCCCATCGCTTTGGCCCCGGCCTTCTGCCTGGGCGACCGGAAGATCACTAATGGCAAGCACTACTGGGAGGTCGTGGTCGACCAGTCGCCGTGCGCCGTACAGATCGGGGTCGTCAGCGAGCGCCGATCTCGCAGGCTCGGTGACCCTGTCAGCAATCACACCGACGGCGACAGCGGCCACGACAGCTGTGAGGAGCTGGACGCTGACCACGGCTCGCGGGCGGACGCGACCGTCCTGGTGACCTACCACAGCGGGAAGGTTTACTTCCCGAACGAAACCAGCAAGGGCGGCAAGAAGTCGGGCAGCAACGGCAACAAGCCGGCAACCCACGCCCTAACGTCTTGCGCAGTCGGCGTCTGCGTCGATGTCGACAGAGGGCGGGTGTCATTTTTTGACGTGGACTCCAAGGAGAGTTTCTACTCGGCCAACACGGGCCGGGAAGGCACAGTATATCCGGGCATCGTCATCGTCGGTCCTGGAGTGGTGAAATCGCGTCAACTTGATGAAATGTATCTTGGTGGAGTCAATATCCTTTAATGGGCAGAGGGCCTTTCTTCCCTCTCTTGCACAGAGAAACCAGGCAAGACTTCTCATAAAGAAATTAATTAAACTTGCACAACATTTATAACAAAATTAGTATATTTTAATGCAAGCTCTGTGTGTGGGTTGTAAACAAAAGAATTTTGACAAGCAAAAGACCACATCAAACTCATGTCTATCACCATTTCTTTGATACACTGATTGCCAAAACTTGACAGCCAGCTTCACTTTCCACTTCCCTAGTGCTCTTAAACCCAGTAGATCACCAACTTCACATATATTGATAAATCAATTTTGGCATTACAAGACTGACAAAAGCTTTCTCTGTGCTCTTCTTTAAAACGACTATATCTCATATGAGGCCCTCGAAATAGCCCACTTTAATTATTTACGTATGACTAGGTTGGTTTTCTTGACCTATAATATCTAAAAGCCTTCAGGCTTAAATCTTCCTAAAATTGATGCTACCTTTATTCACGGAAATGATGCCACTTTGTCCATAAAATGGTGCCAACATTTGTAAAGTATCACATGTTATAGAAGCTGTACAGAGAGTGGATCACGTATTCAGTTGAGGTATTTTTAATGTTGAAAAAGTATGGCAAAACTTATGTGTAAAAATCTGAACACTTTTGAATGAGTGCGTAGATTGTATGTCCTAATATAAATTGAAGATGCACTGTTCCACAGTGGTAGTGGCTAATTTTATTGGTCTTGTCTAAAATCGGAAATAATTAGACAGAAGTGAAGAAAGTAATTAAGCGGTATGGGTGTTCTTATAAAATATATTTTTAAAGCAGTATGGTTTTCTGGAAATAAGGGGTACAGGTTAATGTAGTAAGACCGTGAACATTTTCGTTGTTGAGTTGTGCTTATTCATCCTTCGATTTGTCTTGTTGATGGCAGCACATTTTTGAATGATGCGTGTAGTTTTGTGTGCATCAAGCCGGCTTAGTTGTCTTCGTTATTTCAGTGTTCATGCATATAAGAGAAGTTGTGATTTTTATTGAGTGATGAGGATCCATAAAATGTGCTTATAGCGTTGTTTATTGTTTGGAACCAAAGTAAAATATTAAGGATATAAAATGTGGGGAAAAGTTACCAGCGCTTTCTACGTTATTTCTATTCATTTGCATTGTGGCATTATTTTTGCAAAATGTTTAAGGTCTCCAATGGCTTGTTTATGCCTTTCGTCACGACTATGCAAGCGCGTAAGATTTGGGTGTAAATTTTGTAACGTGGTTTTAAGCACAGCGTCTGAGCAATGCGCCGTTTCGTGTTTTAATCCTGCTAAAGCCCATTCGCTGAGAAATGTCTACATTTTAGATACGCTGAATTTGTGCAATCATTGGTGTATTATATTAGAATTAAAAAAGGTTTTCTCATGGTAAAGAGTATGTGTAGTTGTTTGATTTCTTTGTTTTGGAGTCCTGTAATTCTGAAACGCATAAACTGTAGGCAGTTAATGAGAACAGCTTTGAAGGAACTTTTTTTATTGTTTTTTTTTAATTTTTGTGCCACGTATTCGTCAGTTTAAATGCAGTAAATAAATTGAAGCAGTTAATACGAAAACAGCCATAAGTGAGATTTATTCCATTAATATGTTCATTTGATAAATTGTAGTTTCATTGGTGATTTATTTTTTTCGTTAGAAATGGAACATCATCAGTCTTTCATCATGTTGACCCCCCAAGTACAAATACCGGGTTGCACCTTTATTAATCAATTACGTAATTTCTTAAAGTGAAAATTCTGCTTGGTTACCGATTACAAATTTCTCAATACTTTAATTTGGCTTGAGCTTATAAATTATGTTGGTCTCGGGTCTTAACAATGACCAGTCCCTTTTTTTTTTCATTTTTGTATAAAAAGTTATAAAAAATATAAAGAGTAGCATTTGAATTATATTGATTGGGTGTTGTCATCGGCCACAAAAGTTCTGGGGAAGCGCTTGATTCAGTTCAAGACGTGTAAGGCAAATAATTAAGCCAAGAACTAAACAGACTGTTAAAATGACTTCACAACACTAAAGCCAGTCACAATCTTACGTTAGAATTAAGTACATGTGTTAATTTGCATGGCCATTTTTGGCTAATTGGGAATGACCTTTGACACCTCGTTTTAAGTGAAGATGTTTCATACCCATGTCCTTCTTGAAATTGTTATCATTACCGAATCTTAAATTACAATTTTTCCCATCCCATCCACTTTCTTTTCATCTGCCTTCATGGCACAAGGGCCCTACACTTTCGAGTTCAGATTATTATTTGGTGCGAGATTCTCACGAATTCCTCAATTTGGGATCGTCGGCATTATTTCTTTTGTCTCCTTAACACCTTTCATTCATTCACATTTCATTGTATTAAAAATGTGCGCTCCTAGCTTGCCATTTGCATTTCTTCCATTGTTCGACCTGTCTCTCACATTCTTGGCCCAGATCCCGAGCGTTGGCTTCGCCGCTTTGACACAAAGCCAGACAAGATGTCTTCCGGCCAGTCGTCTGACGGATCAGTTTTGTCCACCAAGGAAGACTCTGGCTCTCTTCTACTCTTCTGTCGTTCTCTCCCGTTCGAGTCAGCTAGAGTGCGTGATATGACACCGAGCCAGTCCGAATCCGAGTCGCTGTCATCTTTGAGTTTGCTGGCACTAGGACAACTTGACATGTCAGTCCTCATCCTCCTCGAACTTCTCCTTCCAAAACTGGGCTTGTTGCTAGGTGATGGTGGTGTGTCTCCAAGTAGCCAATCCAGATTGCTGGATCCGGATCCTGAGGGCGTACTTCCTTGACCTTGGCTTGCCGCCTCTTCCTTTTCACTGGCACTACTCGTGTTTTTACTTCCTTGATTTGATTCATTGTGGGAGAGAACTCTTCTTCCTGACTTTTGCTCCTTCTCTTCGATTAAATCATCACCCACCAATGGTTGCTTTCTCTCTTGTCGGGGCTTTGCTGTTCCTCCGGTAAGCCAGTCAGAAACATCCCCCTTTGATTTCAGAGTTGGAACTTCGCGTCTCTGATCCTGGCCTGTTTGTTCAGACTGCGTAGTTTCAGGGAGCGTTGATCTTCTGCCAAATGAGAGCTTCTTTGCAGAATCGTCCGCGAGCAAATCAATTATTTTTGCAGCTGGTTCAGTCGATGCTGAGGAGCTCCTCTCCAAGAACTTACTTTCGGCACTAGTAGATGAGCCTTTGAAAAGGTCGTCAAGCCAGTCAGAGGTTTTTTCTGTCTTCTTATCTGAACTGCTGGCCAGATTCTGTGTTTTGGCTGTCCCTGTTGTATGTGATGTTGAAGCTTCGGGTTTTTGAGGAGCAGGGAAGTCTGTGACAGTGCTATTCAACTTCTGTTCTGGCTTTAACGGGCTGCCTCGGGAATTATCAGTCTCAGACAACTTTGATCTCGATCCAGATGAGGACTTCTTTTCGGAATCCTCTAAGGGAAAATCTTCTGTATTATTCTCAGCTAACAGAGTCGATGTCGACGGACTTCCAGCCGAGAGTTTTTTATTGGTCCGTGAAGATGCAGAACCTGGAAAAAGGTTGTCGAACCAGTCGGAAGATTTGTCCACTTTATTTCCCAGACTGCCTGCTGGACCGCTCCCTCTGACGACTTTCTCTGAAACGCGTGGGGAGGGACTTCGGAGTTCTTGAGGAGCCGGTGTTGCCTCAAGGTTGTCCCTGAGGAAGCAGTCTAATGCCTGTTTGGGCTGTAAATGTCTTCGCCTTGACGGTGTCCTGATGGAAGAACTCGGCTGCATGTCGAAAGAAATACCGCCATCTGCAACACCTTCATCAGCTTTCCCACCTCGTCGTCCGAAGGACACTCTCCCCCGATCCTTGGAATCCTCTGAGAACAGAATATCGGTTGGCTCTCTTTTTCGACTTGAAGATGTCAGTCTGTTTCTTGACACCAGCCCTTGCGAAGGATCTGGTTTCTCTTTCATTACAGAAGGCACGTACGCCGATTTACTCGACGGCGATGAACTTCCAAGGAGCCAGTCCAGGTTGTCTTCCTTTTGCTTTTCTGTAGTCCTTGCCGCTTGTGAAGTTTCTCTGGACTTTGAAGATTGAAGTCCACTTTCTACTTGGGCTACTTTTTCCGACGGACCCTTGCGTCTGTCTTCTTGGAAGCGACGTCTTCCAGATCTGGGCTCAGTGGGCTTCGTGGCTTCGGCAGACAGGCTTTGGTCCAATCTGTCTGAATTGACATTTTTCTCTTGATTAGCTGCAGAGAAGCTCAAGAGCCAGCCTGGTTTCCAATTCGGTTTGGAGTCCCTTTTCTGGCTCTGATCGGAGATGACAGCAGCGGCCTTCATGCTGTCCACTTTAGAGAGTTTATCTTGGCCAAGCTTTACGTTGGTGGCCCACGGATCTTCATGGGATGCATTAAAGGCGGTACCCACTGAGTCAATACGGGAATCTTGGTCACCTCTTTCTGGCGGATCAGCAGTCAGCGGAGTCTTCACCTGCAGATCTGACAAATCATCTGATAGTTGCTCCCCGCTTGAGCTGTCAAGAATCTCTTGCTGTTTGGTGGCATCATCGGGTTCGACATGCTTGGTTTCTTGGGCTTCCTCTGATATCTTTTGTGATTCACTTTGTGACGAAATTTGTTTATCTTCGTCTTCATGTGGCTTATGCAGATGTTGGCTTTCTTTCAGTGGTGTTATTCGACTCCTATTCTTCCCAAGGCTGCTAGCAAACTGTGCACCACCACTCGAGTTTGTGCTAGTTTTCTTTGGTGACGTAGACTCCTCAAACCAGTCAAAGACATTGTCATCGAGGTCGCTGATGAACACCTGCTCAGTTGGTGGAGGTATAAGTACGACTGGCTCTTCTTTGACTGGAAAGGGGGGTGTCGAATCTAATTCTGGAGGTATATCAAAAGCAAACTCGTCATTTGAGCCTCCTTTCGATGCTACTTCATTGGTGTCTTCGGACAACGTGTCGCCATGACCCACCTGTGGTTCCGGATTCCCTTCGTTTTTGGCAGCCAACTTTTTCTTTTGTGTGTTGTCAAGTTGGTGCTCACCTCTGACTGTGTTGAGCTCGGTAGTAGTCTGTTTGAGCCTATCAGTCCTGGAGCTTGCTACCAGCTTCTTCGCTGTCTTTACGGTCTGTTTTCTGCCGACAGTAGACAGCCAATCTCGGACATCGTCGTCATCACCACATTCAGTATCACATTCTGGGTCATTCGGCTTAGAGGTTTCTTCTTTGTTCTTCTTTTGTCGGTCCTCAGTTAGGTCCTGGCCAATCGTGTCTTCCCAACAAGTGACTGAGGCGGTGGGAACATCTCCAGATCCACCGTCCTTCGGGCCCATTTCATCTTTTCCATTTTGCTGGTCTTCCAAAGCTATTGCCTTGTCAACTGAAGTGTCCACAGGGGAAGGGATTTTAACAGAAGGATTTTGACGATTTTCCTTCTTTCCGTCGGAAATTTCACTCTCAAACTTAATGTCTCGGCTTTCGTCTGCAGTCAGTGTAGTGAGGTCCTTAACTTCAGAGACTAAAGAAGGGCCTTGAGGGGGCTCCGGGCTGTCAACAGTTTGACAATAAGTTTGTGGCTGCTCCTCCGTTGTCACACAGGTATTGGCCTGCGGGGATCTCTCCAGAGGCACGGCAGTGGAAAGCCTTGAATCCTTACTGTCGGCTTCGTCAACTGCCGATGATGACACCTCTTCAGTCTTCGCTTTGCCTGCCTCTGATTTCACTAGTGTCTCCCTCTTCATGATCAGCGTGAAAGTCTCATCGCACTGAAGAGGAACGAAGGGGATAGTCAGCGGCGTTCCCTGCTGTTGCTTGGAGGGACTTGATGCTGTCTCCTTGGTTCTGTCTTCTCTACTAACGTCAAGGGAACAGTCTTCTTGATGCCGAGACTTGTTCCTTACGCACGACCTCTTGTGGTGGTGGTGGTGCGTAGGCTTCGTTTGAGCTACAGAGGAAAAAAAAACGGAAATTATTTCCTGTGGAATTGCCAAATATAGTTACTCGAGCAATTATTGAAATATTGTATGTTTAATTTAACGCTTAAGAGTTGTAAAACCTGGATGGAACTGATTTCCCAGCAGTATGTGTTTGATCTATAGAAACTCACTTTAGTAATTGCCTTATGTTTGTTTGCTTAAACCTGAAGCTTAATCATTTTTTTAAATTTATCCTATTTTCATTGTGAGAGACATAACATTGATTGGTATTACGAAGTATCGATTTTTAATTATCACTGGTTACACTGGGTTATGATTCGGAATAATAAATTATTATGTTGCGAAGATGTTCCTTGTGGAAGCGAATAGGGATAATTATGCATTCTTTGAAATTAAGAAGACAGTCGTTCATGTAGAATGTACCTTTATGTCGATTTGTTGTGTCGTCCGAGTCACTCGTGCTGGAACAGTCGTTTCTCCCACATTCTGTTGAATGACAACCGGACCTGGTCGTACTCTCACCGCCATTTCTGCCCGACTTGTCCCGGGGTGAATATACAAATACGGGGTCGTCTGTCTGACGTTCTGCCCAGGACTGCTGCCTCCTGCGTCTGACTAGCGTCCTGCCCCAGGCCTGAGCAGCGAAGCCGGTGCGAGCATCCGCGCCGTCAACTCGGCCGTTCGCCAGGCCCAGCTCCCGCCGGGTGACAGTCGCTCTTTGCCGGGCTCTCTCTGCCGCGTCACGGCACAAGCGGGACCGGGAAGGGCTTGAAAAGCTCTGCGCTTGGATGGAGCGTGTTTCATCATCGTCGGTCGATGAGTACTGACTGTCGTCATCGGCTGAATTTGGCCTCTGAGAATTAATTTTGGGGGAAAGACGCTTAGTTCGGTCTCCTTTAAATTTCTTAGTTCACAGGGCACAGTCTTACGGCTACATTGTGTTGCGTACCACAAGGGAACTTTGCCGTCGTTAATTTCACTAGGATTGAAGAAGATCATCAAGGTTGTATGCTTCTTTTTAGTTTGGGAAAGTCGATGAACGTGAGACAATAGGTGTTCTGGTTATTTCAAATTTATTGTAAGAAAAAACCCCTACTAACAAAGCTCACTTTTTTTGGGGGGGGCACTAGTTTTTTTTTCGTAGAAGTGCACATGCCCTCTATCGTACCAAAGACAACTTAAGTCAGTTTTTATAGTACATTTTGTGACGACTTACTTGTTCGTATCTGCTTCCGGTTATTTGGACTCTGTGAGGCATCGTGGCTGTGGGACTAAACACCAAATTCCCCTTGTCGACCTGGGCGTCTTGGGTCGCCGAAGGCTTCCTCGTGGTCCTACACTCCATCGCACGGTACTCCTGTAATGGTGCGTCGTTCACCTTCAACTGAACACGGCGTAACTGGTCTTGACGCTTGATTTGGGCCGCCTCGCTCGGGTAGAGGATGACAGTCCGCCGGCTGGGCTTGTTGGCCTTCTTTGTCTTCGGCACGCTAGGTTTTCTGGGCATGAACTTCAGAGAATCCTGGTCCAGTCTGCCGAGCTTCTCGTCAACGAATCGAACTCGTTTGACAACTTTGGTGTACTCCTCAGTGGTCTCCTGCTCAACTGATGCAACTGAAGCCGTAGTCTCTGTCTTCAGGATAGTATGGTCGGTGTTTGTTGGCTCTGGTGTACATTCCTCGGAGAGACTGGGTTTTATTCTTGATCCTCTCACCGAGCTTGGCCGGAAACGTCCGGCTACGACTCCGCTCGATCGTGGCAAAGCTGATTTGGTGTTGGAGCAGGGAGGTGGTAGGTCAAGGAGCGCGTTTTCAGCTCCTTCGCTCCGTTTCATCTCACGGAGGTGTCTCATGACAGTCTTGCAGTCCACCCTATCTTCCAGAAAGTCAACTATTTCGTCACTCGCACCGAAGGGGTCCTCCAAATTCAACGAGAACTGCGTTAGTTTTGCTCGGCTCACCTTGTTGCGTTTTAGAGCAACTTTAACCTCGCCGTCTGCAGCTGCTTTGAAAACATTTGGTTTGACCATTGCCAAGCTACATTCCCTGCCATGTTTACCGATGGGCTTGAGTTCATTTTCACTAGGGGCAGTCCTTCCAGCTTCGAAGATGTTCGCCGCTATCGTCTTTACCTTGCCAGTTGGGACTGGTTTCAACCGGTTACTACCGCTTCGCACCGGTCGGATCCGGAAAGAGGAACTACTGTCCTCCGTCGGTATATAAACACGAGGTGATGAAATATCATCCCCAATAAAACGTTGCCAATCATGGTGCTCTGGGAAAGACGAAGAAGTGTTGGGTGAGAAAATTCAAAACCAAATGAGAAAAACGCAAAACTGTCATCCGGTGCAAGGGAGGATTTTCACGAAATTTCTTGAAGTTCGTAAATCATCTCAAATTGACCAAATTCTGAAGGCAGGTAATCAAATCATTAAGGGTGATTTTCCTTAAAAACTATAAGAAAATAAGAAAAAAATTACTCACCCCTTGTAGACATTTTAGAACTACTTTTAAAACACTCCAAAACCTCGGATAACAGATTTTTCGGATTCTTGAAACACAAGAACGCTTTTGGTTATAAGTTTTTATCTCAAACAGATAGCACAACACAGCTCAGAAAACTTCTCTGTGCAGCGCTGAATTTCAACGAATTGTGGTTTCTGAAGAGACTCAGAAAATCTTATATCATGTAAACATAATCAAAGCCATGGTAAAACTTCCAGGTTACCCCGGATTGTGACGTAATAACTACTTATGAGCATCGACGCACGCGCGAATAACTCGCATAGCCACATCCACGCGTCGTTTCGAACGCTTTCTGAACGGCACCCTCACTAAGTATGGTCAAGGATTTTCACTGCCTAGTGGATAGAAAGTTCACCTGAATCATTCACCTATAAGCCAATGGCACGGCTACAAATTGTGGTTGTGGGGGAAAGGCAGAGGCTGCGTCTGGACATAGATCCTAGCTCTTTGGACAGGGGTAAAAAAAAAACATTTCCGGCGGAGGTCTGGCGCTTTTCAGCAAATGAATGGGTCACGTGGTCCCCTGCTATGCCTCGCCGCCGTACTGCGACATGTTGATTCCCATGTCTTTTTCCCTCATCTTCTTTTTTGGAACATAAATTTTTACATCTATTACTGTATAACTGATAATTTCAAATATTGCTGTGTCCTCATCTTAAGCATCCCCACGGACGCCAATCTCTCGAGAGCACGGGGTCAGGGTTGGACGGCATCCTCCCCTCCCTCCTCCCCCCCTTCCATTTGCTTTTATCTTTACCTTCGAGACTGAACCAGAATTCACCTGCATATGGGCTTTTCCAAATTTTTGAAAGTTTCTACGGACGGTAAGGTCTCATCGAGTGAGGAAACACTTATGCCAATTTTTGAATGAATACTTTTTATCTGATATAAGTAACGCATGGCCATCCCAATTTTTGGCCTTTTCAATTTTGCTTCATGTCCGTGTCAGGAAAATACCTTTTCCTTACCTCTCTTTTTGTATTTTTTGTCGATTGTAGTTTGTTTGTTGTGTGGTACTGTTCGATTCCAACTAGGAACTGGTATGATAAGGCCCAAAAAGTAATCAGTGAAATAATTTTGACCCCGCTCTCATGATAGGTTTCACCTACAATGGAGGCGACTACCGTTCAAACATGTTTTTCTATCTCTCTCTCTCTTTGTCATAGCTGGACTGAAAATTGCATATTGACAGGCCATCAATGTGTGTAGGCTAAGTAGTTTGTGGGTCGAGGAAGCCAGCGATGGTAGGCTCCTACTGTGATTGCATGGGGAAGCAGTGAAATGTTGGTGGGTGTCACCGATGGTGAGTGGCGTCTACATGTGTGATGTCCTCCTATACCGTTACAAAAAGGCCAAGCATGTTTTTGTCATTTCTAAGTACAAATGATGTGTTGAATTGACTGACAAGACTCTGAGAACACACTTTTGGGGGGGCGAATCCGTCGGGCGAAAATCCGGGCACTAAATTAACTCGCGTATATCAATGGAAAGGAAAAATGATAAGAGTCAGTTTTGAATCACTTTCGAAGTTGGGAAAAAATAGGTTAACCTTTTCCAATTTTAATGTCCCCCACCTCCGTTAGTAAAAACGTCTATCCTCGTCAACTTCCGGGTATGACCATGAACAAGCGGTGCGCGCGGCATGATTAGACGTATCCGGGTTAAAAGTACTACTTGGTAACAAAACGACTTTAACCATGTTCGACAACTTTATAATTAGCACTGCTCACTTCATGCTGCTGGTACCCGTGTTGCCTAACGCTTTTCCATACGGCTGATTCGTCATTGGGGACATTCACTGATCGACACACGGGGCCCATCAACAGCGATTAGGCGGGCCTCCTTGACTTCATTGAGTACTGTGCCAGTAAAGCATATGACGGCCAGGGGAACGCGACCCTCGTTCTCCCACGTAGAAAACACGGGCCAAAATGGCGAAATGAATTGCCGTTGAATGAAAGGTTGCTCACTGATCCGTAATAACTCGAAATGGGTGCAGCCTGGTTTTCTGCTCTCTCGTTAAATTATTCGCTGTTAACTTAATCCGAAATGTAATTCCACAATAAAGTAATTTAGTTTGGCTGTCAGAATCAAGTGTCACCTGTGTAGAAGACGGAGGTAAGTACGTGGGCCTGGGCCCATAATGATACTAATTTTAATGTCATGTTTACTTTTAAATAGGAGAAGCCTACGGACATGACGGAACACTGGCCTAGGCTATGGCGTATCTCATTTAGTCATTGACATTGAAGATTTTGGCGATGTAAAATTGGTCCTTTTAGCAGGCTAAATGATGATTGCACTGATGTCCTGCCTATCATTTTTTCGGTCTTGTTGAACATGTTAAAGATTGTCCCTACTCGTAGTACTCCCAAACTCCCCGAGAGTTTGTGTGAAAGTTTTGAAATCGGAAGATTCAGCCCTGATTTTGTTCAGTGTCATTAAGGTTCTGGTTTATAATAATAAGGAAATAGGCTTGGCCTACAAAGAAGGACAGCTGTTTGAAAGATTTATTATCAAAATACACCCTCCACAATTTAAATAGAAAGTAATCATGGTAAAACATTCCCATAAAAATGTTTGAATATTTTGTTGATGCTTTGTTGACGCTAAATAGCATGACCCTAGTGAAATACATAGTACTAAAATGGGTTCGACTATATTGAAACACTGAAAGTATGGGTATTTTTAGGCCAGCATCTTTAGGGTTTTGTTTTATTCGCTTTTGGTTTTTTGTTTGATTTTTAAAATTTGATCAGGTATCGCTAATTTTTGGGTTGTAATCAATTATAGGCAAAAAGTCTCTCTGTAGATTGCTAACTCACAAAAAGGTCTCTTATTCACAGTGCATGTTACTTTTACATTAGCCTCCCCTTTTAACATTCTATCCCACATTTTGGGGGAACGCTTTTATGTTTTGGAGTGCTTTTAGGGTTTTGATCATTCGTTTACATCCTCTGAAAGGTAGCCTCTGCTTTCACCAAGTGCTTTTCAAATCATCAAACAGAAAAAAATGGTATCCAGTCACTTGGCGTAATAATGAAATGACCAACAAATACTTGCCAACCAGGTTATGTTACATGTATGTGATTCCTCTGTTCCTGACCTCTTGCCGTCACTGATGGATACGATGTTAATATCTTTCAAAGATGCCACCATCAAAGATTTCTCCCACAGTGATGTCGGGATCAGACAAACCTGAGTTTCCAACCCTTCAACCATGATCAGTATTATCAAATTTATAAGCCAGTTGTTAACTTCATTAACCATTCCATTGGATATTGTCAGTGGGTGTGTGGAAAATATTTTTCTTCCACCAAGGTAAAATAGATAAGCATGTGAAAAGAGTTGGTATCTGCACCTTACTTGACCTCCTGTGCACAAATCCTGTTAGACTCATCTTAAAGTATTGACATGTCTTCCAAATAAAGGCCTCAAAATTTTCCCCTCTAAAATTGACTTGTTAGGACATTTTATCACTCTCTGATGGCTGAAGCGGGGAATATTGGTGATGGAATTCTTCCTAGGGATAAATCGTGGTGGTTTATGACTTTCATTTTATACAGGATGTACAGTTTCTACTCTGCTCTGTCTGAAAGCACACCCTCATTGGCAAAGAAGAGCCAGGCCAATGGGAAGTTTTTCCACTGGTACACATCATGGGAAGACTGTACATTCCAAGAGAAATCAGTTGCGCATGCTCAGCGTAACCAGCGCCAAAATGCACATCCTTCCCATGCACGCTATGAGTTCCCATCAGAGGGAGGTCATTGACACCTAAAACCATGCCCACTCTTGTTTCTGCAAGGAGTGGAGAATAAATAGGTTCTGCGCCGCCTCCTACCTTGCAGCCATAGTTTTGCCCATATGGTAAAGCTGCATGTGTGGCTGGCTGTTGATGCTGCAGCAAAAGAATGATGCTCCAGGTACTAATGGGCCTCGAGCAGGACCAAGAGAGGGTGCTGTTTTCTTAGCAACAAAGACTCCTTTGGTCAGAACTGAACTTGGCTGGTTCACGGAAATGCATGCGTCACTGTGACAGTCGCATCGCTACCAACAAATTGAACACTCCCGACCAAGGCGGTTCTTTTCAAACAACGAGGGAGTGCTTTTAGTCAAGGCGAATTACCTCAGCTATCAGAACATGAGTGATAAACGCTACAACTAAACACTAATGAAACTGTGGCCCCTCTCAAGCAATGCTCAAGGCAAACATACGTGTACATTTTGAGGTGTAATCTGACATGAAGAGTGTTACCCACATGCAAACTTAATCCGCCCTTAGCATACATGTATGCCTGTGCTATGTTTATGAACGTGGAAATAATTTTAAAAATCACATTCGCGTGAACCCATGTTGATTTAAATTAGCATGAATAATCAGTGTACATGTATAGCAGTTTGTAAAACCCTTTAAAAATAAGAAGAGCCGAAGTGAATGAGAATCACAAGAGCACATCCAAGATTCCTGTCTGAAAAAAACATCCGAGTCCTTTGAAGGCCCTTTGAATTATATTAACCATTCTGTCATTTGCAAGGGATGCTCTCTTGTTCGGTGAAACAGTGGTGCCCCGCTATATTACAATACTGTCTGATTGATTCTCATTACACTTACATGTAATGCTGTCTAATTAATTGGGCTTTGCATTAATGGTGCATATGGGTAGGTACACAAGTCAGACCTGAGGCAATTGTCTGGTTATCCACAGAGGGGAAACCATGTTGAAAGTGCTCCATGGAATAACACTAATTTTTTTTCTCATTTTCATTGTTGCCCCAAG